ATACATTGAATGCATATTCATGTTGGCGACATTCGTTGACAAAAATACGAACGACTTGAAATATTAAGGTTGAAATTCACTCGTCGCGAATTAATCCTTAGAAGGGGATGGATAATGGATAAAAAGTTGAAGAGTGGGATAGTTACAATTGTTCTTATTTGGGTTAATAAAATTTCTATTTTTTTTTAATGGAAAATTTTATTGGCAAAAAAAAAATTGGTCGAAAGTGTAAGCAATTTTAAATTTAATGGAAAAGGTAACAAACTTTAGGAAAGTAGCGTGTCGCCATTTTGGGAATATTAATATTGATTGAATTCAAAATTATTATTTGCTTGACAAATTGGACATTACTGTATACTACGTAAGTCGAAATAATTTTAAACAGGAAAGGAAACGAAACCTGTCAAGACAAATAATTAAATACGTATAACCAGACATGTATAACCTTGACAATTATTGATCAACTATATTAGCCAGAATTGTAGAGCTATCATTGATTGGACAAGTAATATAGATTAATTAATAGTCAGACAAGTAGAAAAAACACATATATGAAAGTCTTATGCTGCTTGCCTGACAAGTGAATTGCCTGTACTACTCGTTGCTCTCATTATCATTTACTTATATCACTTGTTGTATTATGACTCGCTTATACACCTCACTGTTCATTTTCCTTAGCTATTTATTTAATCAAAAGATTTGTGTGATAATTCTTCACTCGTTCACGAATTTCTTAATCACAAGCCGAATTTCCAGCGACGAAACAATAGGATGAAGCCGAATTTGCATCGAAATCAACTTCTGAGGCGTACAGTTTAATTCCAAATGGAACAGAACGAGAGAAAGAGAGAGAGAGAGAGAGAAATGTATTTGAAGCTCCACGTTCATTTGTCTTCATTATCCTCTCATTATGACGAGGCTAGGGCCACTTTTCACGCATGCAACGACTCCGTTTCAAAATGGTTTCTGGTTTGGGTCAAAATGGAGAATCTTAATCCGGGTAGATCAGATGCGGGGAATTAGAGTGTAGAATCGAGGCATTTGGCGAGAAGCCTGGTTTATTTGACGAGCCTGTGCCAAGAAATTCTTTGAACCAAAGAACCGGCCTTCCCCTTTGAGGCTCTCTATCAAAGGGATTAAACCCTTTTACGCGTTGGTGTATAAAAAGCTGTTTTACAGAGAATTCGACGCCATTTCACCCCTCGATGTATGATTTGTGATACGTGACTCTACTAACTTTTCAATTGTAATTATAGAGTCGATCAAGGTGATAATCAATGAATTATCCGTCTCGTAAAATTTGTTAAAATTTGTTTCTATGAAAACTATGAATGAAAAAATGTTTTTGTTATTGCGATATCAAGTAAAAGGTCTTTTTCTATGTGTTTTGGAGTGAAACGATTGACGTATCGACGTTTACGAGTTTATGGATGGAAACAAGTGTTGCCTCTCGTTTCGCTTCGAATATATCCGGTATTAACTCGATAGGAATTTTTGACAAGGGTAAAAAAAAAAAAAAAGGTAGGCTTGTGCGCGTTAATTGGAATTGGCGAGTATCGTTTGATTCATTGAAAATGCATAAATGAATAAATAACGAGGAAAATGTGTAATTAAGTGGTGTTAATTAAGTATAATAATAAATGGATGTAGAAGTTTTTAAGATGAAATTAATTTTAAGTGAAATTTGTATCCAAAATAATACGTTTCGTTTCAGAATTATTTCTTCTAATTGATTAATTAATAAAACTAACGATACTTTCCAAATGAATCCATAATTCATCCCTAAATCTTAATTAAAATCGTAATATATCTCGTCGATATATTATAAAAAAAAATGTATAAATTATTTTTTTAAAATAAATCGTGCAAATAAAATCTAAAAATAAACAGTTCGTTGTAACATCGCCAGATAAGTGGAATAAATCATGTACAATTGACAAGTAGAAAAGGAAAGTAGTATAAATCAACCGTCGGCCAGCCTTAAAAGTCCACCCAAAAGCAGATACCCAAGAAATGGAATACGCAAATTTATAGACGCAAAGAGGAATAAAGAAAGAGCATTTAACACGTACTGGAAGAGCAGTGGAGACGTCCTCGGGGCGTTATAATCATTGAGTATCGATCACTGGCCGCCTATGACGCAGTGTCTGCTTCGAGGAACTTCGAATTCGTCCAATCAGAGGGGACGACCGTTTGTGATGACCTCGTCCTTTCTAATCACCCCTTTGTGAACTGATTTCATAGTATTCTCGTGTATTATCGATAGAAATGTCGAGATTTGGCGAGAAGAAATGGAGAAAAGTAGAGGGAACAGACTCGTTCTCGAGTTTAAAATACTTGTCAGATATTTTTTAATGTTTTTCACTTGGTAACAATATAGTCGCGTCGAGGAACAGCAACGAGACGGATTCGAGATTCCTCAAAGCGGGAGGATCGAGCACTTAACGAGGTATTTGTTTTGCGTTATTGCAGGCCACTATCCCAGAATCGCATGAACGCGCGGCGGTTTGCGATAAACACGATTGATCTTCGTGGCACTCCTCCTCGCGACGTTTAAACAATATTTGACGATAAATATTGCACCTCGTTGGCCATACGAAATAACAACAATTTCCACGTCCAACAACGGGAAAATGAATTTTGAGATATGATACAGAGGGCATACGATCGATTTGATCATCGTTATAGCAGTATGATTATATTTCGTGATATTATTTATTTACTTGTTCCACTTATTTGATCGTTATTGGTGGGTTTGATCCACTTGTTCATCTGTGACTGATACTCTATTTCGATCATTATTTTGGAACTGTTTTAATTATCTTATTGTGACTCATTTTTTTTTTTGTTATTAGCAGTTTATTGCCTGATGTTATTTGTTTCATCACAACTATATATTTTCTAGTTGTATTCTTGATCACGAATATATCTAATTCTAGATACATGGTTCGTTTGTTCTATTTAAATATATTTGGCATATCTGATCCATGCTATCTGTTTCATTACAGCTATATATTTTCCCCTTGTATTCTGATCATGAATATATTTAGAATATATCTAGATCATGGTTTATTCTAGCTAAATATGTTTAATCCATCTGATCCATGCTGTTTGTTTCATTACAGCTATATATTTTCCACTTGTACTCTGTATTCTGATCATGAATATATCTAATTCTAGATATATGGTTTGTTTATTCTATTTAAATATGTTTGGCTTATCTCTTTGATCATTATTGGATTAATTTAATTGATTGTGAATGAATTTGGTTTTTATGGAATAATTATTGAATTATTAGCTGAAACGCTGTATTTTAATAATTAAAATTGAGATTGTTTTGAATTATTTCAAGAAAGTCTATACAATTTCTATCATATTTTTAATGACAGTAAAATATTTCACAATGCCATAAAGAATGGTCACTAGATCATATAATCAGATTTAATTAATAGTTTAATCTGAATTTACTTTTTTCAAGAAATCAAATCATTGAAGAATTTAACTCTAAAAAACATTACTGTTTATCAACATTTTCTGCACGAAAATCAAATCACTATTTTGCCTAGAAACTTTCATATCTCGACTTTTTGATCATTCTAACGCGCATCTCACGTGTTGATCAATCATTTAGATGCATGCATTATTTTTCCAATAATATGCACAATATTGTGCAAGAGTCTCATTTCATTTGCATTTATCGATCTTAATGAACTCATATCTTGAAGGAACTCCGTGATGAAATTATGGAGTTAATGTAATTATTTATTATTACACAGCAAATGTTTATTACACACAAAAAGAAAAAATAAATAATAGGATTGAAGTATCATTAAATGTCTGATCTTTCAACATAAAATTTTCATTTTCTTTTGATTGTGATTTACTGTTGGATGCGATCCAAACATGCTATTATTAGCTTTCAATCTTGATAATGTTCTACTTTCCTCCTTTTTTCTATTTTTTCTTATATTCTATTAAAAAAAAAAAAAAAAAGAAGGAGAGATACGAATGCTAAAAGTTTTTTTTTAATAAATTTATTCGATATTTTGAAAAATTTAAATTTCAAAAAATAGATTTTAATGATACATTCATCTTATATTTCTTAAAATAATTAATCCGCATTTTGAAGAATTAATAATACCGATGAATAAACGGTGGAACATGAAAGTAATAAGAATCATTTTCCTTTAATAATGAATTTACATATTTAATTGCACATTTTCTCTGCACAGAATTTCACAACGAAATCTTTGACAATGAAAAATTAATTACTGATCATAATTTAAATTTATAATATTATCGCAATTTGTATTTGAATCCATTTCAATTTTGCGGATTTATTTAACAAAACAGAATTAATCCAAGCTACGTAATTCCACGTCCAATTTTCTAAAACTTTCTTACACTTTTTATTTGCGCGCATAAAAATCTTTTAATTTAATTTTTTCTAAGATTTTCTTTCTCATTTCTGATTGATATAATAAATAAAAAAGACTTGTAATTATTAACTGATATTTTATTAACAAAAGTAACAATGGATTAAAGAATAATATTTATTATTTATTACTGTGGATATTTATATATTTATGGAAAATTTAAATATGCAAAATATATTTCATCTAAAATTTATTGCTAATAGATGGAATAAATAAGCAAATTCTTTAATCGTGTTCATAAAAATATTAATTTTAAATAAATATTCGTAGTTCTTTTATTATTTATATATTATTGTAAATTGTGTATAATTCTTGTTGATCATTATATGCGATTATTATCAGAGAAGATTAATTCAAAAAATTATATTTATTTTTTCAAATTTGTTTTTAAAAAACATCATAGACATAAATTTTAGACATCAATTCCGTCCAAATAATTGCAATTATTAGGATTATCCTAAGTTACTTCAAATAAAATATTATTGTGTTTGTTATAAATTAATTTGTAGAAGAAACTTTTAAAAGATGATTTGAAAAGACAACTTCTCTTTTATTCTTTTCCAGAAATATGTCAGCGAAGGGTCGATAGTTCGAGACTGCGTGCCAACGTGTGTGGAAAAGGGTGAGTACCTCGAATTTTCCATTTTCACGTACGTTCAAAACCCACCTACAATCCTTACTTACAAATTTACAAAAAAAAAAAAAAAAAAAAGGAAAAAAAATTCTGTCATATTTCATCTTTTTTCGCTTCCATCTATGCTATTTCTCTAAAAGTATTTCATCCATCACTGGAAATGCAGAAAACATGTTACAAAACATCCACAAAATACGAATGTTCTGTCGAACGAACAATTTGAAATATGTCTTCAATTTTCGCGCATGGGAATTGTCAATTTAAAATTTCTCCCGATTATTCCGCGAAAAATTCTGCACTGCGTCAAATCATCAAAGATGCACGCGTTAACGCGCATTTATTTAAATAATAAATTTATCCAAACGCCTCTAAAACTTCATTCAAATCAATCAAAAACGTTTCTTTTTCTTTAAATTTTTAAATTTTGCTCGTAAAACTCGACAATATTAACAATATAAAAATATATAATGTATCATCGAACAAGATAAGATGACATTAAAATACATTTTTATCTTCAACAGAATGAATAAATACTTAAACGTACATATATATATATATATATTTTTTTTATATTCTTACTCACGTCATGAATACGAACGAATTTAAAGGGTTTAAATAAACAAATAAAGGCAATATTGACGGATAGTTGAGGGGGAGGGGAAAAACGATTCCCAATTGATCAACGAACGAAATGCAAAATGCAAGGGGATACGATATCCTCGACGTAACTAAAGCAATTAATCTCCCCGTATTATATAAATATTATTCCTCGAAACGCCAATGAAAATTATTCCCTCGAGGGTGGTGTCAGAACAATTTCATTCTCTATTATTGTTATTGTTATTTCACGATCGCGTCGGCGTGCTCCCTCCTGTTTGATAACGCGATACAGCTGTTTTCGTAATTCCCGAGCTTTACGCCCCAATAATTTCCCCACTGTGGGTGGCTGCGTCGAGGGATATTGGGGGTGGTGGATCGGAAGAGGAAATTAAACGGTAACTAAGCTGGAAGATCGGGGTGGATAAGAAGTAAAAATAACAATTTTCGTTTTTTTTTTTATCTATTTAATTCGAAATTTTCTCACCCGACGATGAAGAAATGATTGGTTTATTCTACTATCGCTTATTGTCGCGTGGCCTTAGCTTTGAGATAATAACGAAATGAATTTTCAGATACGGTAAAGCGTGATATTGCGATCGGCTACTTGTGTGGCTAATCATTTATGATTGACTTATTCTACTCGATCATCACCATTTATTGGTTTATTCTACTTATCCTATCCTATCCTTTCCTTACTTGATCATCGTGGAACTGTATCATCTTATTTTATCATTTATGGCTTATTGTCTGACTATATTAGCCAGGTTACACTACTTACATTATAATTGCATTAAATCATTTATCCAATTATGATTACACTTCTATTATTTGGCTGGTCATTATCGATCGACTTGTACTACTTTTTTGATCACTCACTGAATCGAATTGCAACATTAAAAAAAAAAACAAGCAAGAAAGAAAATTTGTAAGACAAACTTACTGAGCACACTTTACTGTTGGATTAAAAAAAAAAAAAGGAGGAAGAAAAGCATCGAATCGATTATCGACGACAAGTGTCCTTCGATTCTGAATTTCCTAATTAAATCAGGTGTCGGGCAAACTTCGCAGGAAAGAAAGAAGTTAAAGAGACCAGAAAATAAAGAAAAAGTGAAGGGGAAAAAGGAAAAGAAATAACGTGTCAGACGCGCGTAACGCGATTAGGGATAGACGAGACGCTTTCGAAGTGAAAATCCAATTCGAAACTTTTGTGATCCCCTCGACAGGTAATAGAGCGTACGTATCGTTCAACCCTACTGGAAATCCTGTTCCCACCGAATCTTGCGACCTATTTCCCTCCCTGAAAATTTTGTTCTCTGCTCAGATCTGCTTTATTCACGCCCCTCTTCCATATATTTTTATCTCGTATACTTTGTTTTTTTTTTTTCTAATATTTTTATACCTCTTCTTCTACCTCCCTTAAATACGTTTCTTATTTTTAACGTTGGAAAATATTTTTCCTCGAAATTCCAAGATCGTCAATGATATTTAGTATCATAAATTAGGATCAATAGAATCATATTTGGTTTGGTTTACATTCATTCTTCGTGTCGAGCTCATTTTCCAAGTATCTTAAGCCTGTTCCTTCCTTCCTTTGCATCGAGTTTCGACTCGGTGTATAAACGAGACTGGATTTTTCACCCTCAACCAGATCGATCCTTCGACGACACGATTATTGCGCCATCGATGTCTCGTCTTTTCTCGGATAGAAAAATCGCTTGGACGAGTGGCAAGTTGTTTGGAAGGGGTTGTGGAAGAAGGATTTTTGGGAAGATAAATTTTCTAGATGTGGCACATTTTCTTGTGCTCTGTTTTTTGTAAGAGGCATTTTTTTGGAAAGATAATATTGCAAAAGTGAATATATATATATATATTTATTTATATTTATAATATTCTTTTCGAAGCTTGCAATAACAAAGAATCTTTTTTCTTTTTTCATTTTTCTGGATTATCAAAAATAGTTTTTTTTTAAATATTTGTCGAGATTTCCTCAAGATTTCTTTTTAAAAAAACTTCGAAATTTTCACAATCCTCTTATAAACTTTTTTTGTAAAATCTCGTTTTTCTAAATTTAAGAAAATTTCGAGCCAATATAGATAGAGAAACAAATGTACAAAATACACCTTTAAATTTTCATTGTATCACACTTCATCTTAAACATCATTTCATTCTGAGAAAATTTTCCTTCGATTATTGTAAAAAACTTTTATCCAAATGTCATCATCAATTCTAAATATACAAATAATAATAAAAAAATTAATTTAAAACAAAATATACAGTGATACGAATCAATATATATATATATATATATAGACAAGAATCACATCCTCAATTTTTATATCACACCTCCAACGATCTCATTCTAATTCGAATTTCGAAGAGAAAATTTTCCTGCTCCTGTGAAAAACTTTCGATCGTCGGAAGCGATCCAGATGTCACCACAGTCGCCACCAAAGGTCAAATTCATCGTTCATTCGTTAAAGTTGCAACAAGCAGCGAAACGATAACTTCTCTGGCTTTTTTTTTTTTTTATACTTTAGAATAACAGCGAACCCCCATTCAGGCCCACGAGACGAGTTTTCACGAATTTTTACGATTGGCGACCATCTCGCCAAATGTCCCTAGATTTTTATCCTTGTTTACGAGCTTTCGAAACGGCTGCTGGAAACAGTTCTCGAAGAGAGGAAATAAAGAATTCACCGGATAGACAGAGAACCGCCGCGACTTTTTAAACCTTCTTTCTTTTCTGCGCCCATTCTCATTTCTCCCTCCTCGTCTCTCTCTCTTTCTGGTGAAATTGGTATTCGCCGACCTTTCCTCCGGGATTCGATTAAACGGATCCCCTTTTGTCAATGAACTTTCCTCCCCTTAACGAGGTCTTTTACCTCTCCTTTTGTTTCGAAAACTTCTTCTCCTTCCCTATGGCCTACTTTTAATAAGTTTCCCATTTCGCTTGTTTCACTCAACGAGATAGGAGGAGATTGGATTGTGCATTAACGGTTAATTGGTTTGTTTCCCAACCGTTCTTTCTCCAGTTATGAAATCGCATTTTCATTTTTATACAATTGCGTTTGTTCGAGGTGAGAAAATCATTTGCATGATGCGAGGGAAAAAAATTTTTAATTGAATCACGTTTATTAAATGTTTATTAAATTAGGATGTAATTCGAATGAATATTTAAGTATTATTTGGATATTGCAAGACAACGTGTATGAAAATGTACAGAAATTTGTATGGTTCAAAAATATAAGTATGTAAGCAGTAAGTAGAAGAAAATTATCCTTTTAACATAAAATTGGAAAATTTATTCAAAGCTCTCGAAAATTTCGCATGCCACTTCCTTATTTATTATATTCCCCCTAATACAAAGTCGAGGTTCAAAAATTCGATTTTGAATACAATTTAATAGGAGATGACACGTGAAATTTTTCAGTTTTGTATTGGGAGAATATAATATAAAAAAAAATGACACATGGATTTTTTGAAATTTAATGTACTATCGATGTACCGCATCACCTAATCATTTTTTAATCACTTTACTTAACTTACCAATTATGAAACTCGATATCTTTTCAAGATGATATACTTTTATTTACCTCTTCAAAAATCATATTTTCAAAAATATGCACGAAATATATATGTACATCACATAAGAATACAAAAATATATACATACATAGTCCCTTTAATAAATGAGACGAAAATACCTCTGTTCTAAATCTCTCCTTTGTAACGAAACAATCAAGTAGTAGAGAGTCAGTGAAATGGGAGAATTTTAAATTAAAATGTCCGTTCGATCGTTCTGTTGCAGAGGCCTGGAGCACGATGACGTATTGTTGCCAGCAGGACGGCTGCAACTCGGCCCCATCGTTCGTGTCCAGCAACAGCCTCGCGATGGTCGCGATCACGATGGTGCTCCTCCTTGTGCTTCGTGGCTAATACGTCGTTTCCAGCGACCAGGTGACCGCGAATGGAAGCTACGGGATCCCTTCGACATCACCGCGCTAACCATCGATTATTGTCCTGGCCTTTATCTTGCTGACTGGACGTTGACCAGTCGATAGTTGTCGAGCAACGATCGATCGAATATCTGTGAAATCTCCACCTTCCATCGATTTTCCATTCCATTCTCTTTTTTGCTTTCGTTCGAAAAATTATCCGATTTCTATATTTTCTTTCCCATCTCTCTATCTTGCTTTGCTATCGATATTTATATTATTTTTCTTTTTCCGGGTTGAATGAAGAAGCCATTTGTGATTCTTAAGGGGAAGTTTAATCGGTGATTCAAGTTTCTTAATCTGACTTTCAGCTTCTGGGGAATTTTATTCGACTTAATTTTTGCGTAAAGAAATTCTGTTCTACACACGAAAGTTCGTTAAGTTGTTTAACTCGTCTTCTCTTGTTAAATGTAAAACATTTGAGGAAATTAGGAACGTCGGTTGAAAGAGAGTTCCTGGTAAAATTCAATCTTTGTTCTTCGAGAGATAAAGACACCTATTCTTTTTCTCGATTGAAAGGTTGGATAATTTAAATTTTGTACAGATACAATTATCTATTAACTTCTAATTTTTTTTTTTATCTAAGAAAACAGTTTTTCTACGTTCATCAATCTTTAGAGATTTAGTTTGAACAGTCTCATGATTCCACTGAGAGACTTTCTTATGGATTCTTTTTATGATATTTCATACATTCGAAGAAGAAGATCGAATTCTTTTCACAGTTGAATTTCCATCGGTCAGCCTCCTTTTATTCGAAGCTGACACCCGCCTCTTGGGCGACCCTCGAATTCGATTTATTCGAGAACTGGTTCGCCGATTCTTCCACCCCTTTTCTTCGCTTCATACCACCATGAGTGCTCGATCTAACAAGAGCTGGAAAAGGGGGATTCTCGATGACACGTTCTCCAGTCACGCTTCGAGCAGGGACGAAATGGAATTCTTCGAGGCTTGGAAAATGTTATTTCGATGATTCGTTCGTATTACTTTCCCCACATAATCTTTTATCATTAATTTCTTATCCGATTTAATAATCGAAGAAATTTCTCACGCAATCCTGAAAATTATAGTATTTTGAATTATTATTTTTTATAATAATGATTAATTGAAAATTATAGTTAAGTATAAATTTGCTAAAATATTGCATTAATACGAGATAAGTAATTTTGCCATAATTTTTCGTTATTGAATTTGAAAAGATTGAAATTTATTTATTCGACGATACCATTAGATTATCTGTCTACTCGCCATATACTTTATTTCTTTTTGCTTCTCTTTGGTTTTGCTTCAGGAAACCTCTCAGCTTCATTCACGATGATCGATTTTCGATTCCTTCATCCTCCTTAGGATTCTATCGGTTTCCCATTTAGTTCTTCCACTTTTTCCCAAGTTTACTCTCCTCTATTTTCCCTCCATGACAACACTTGCCACATTTTCCACTGGATCTCTCTTCAAAATATCTCAAAACTTGTCCCTGTAATATTCAAAACACAAAAAAAAAAACGTGTTATATTATATAATTATAATTCGTCTAATAATATATTTTCGAAAAGAATCGAAGAAAAATACGAAATATAAAATGAGAGAGAGAGAGAGAGAGAGAGAGAGAGAGAGAGAGAAGAAGAAGAAA